ACTGCTTTTACTCTTACGGTGGATTAATTATTTATTTATAGGTGACTTGGTGGGGTTTGGGTTTTGGGTTTGAGGATTGCTTTGACGACAGTCTTCTATATGTTACAACCGAGTTTCGTTGGTGTGGGCAGGGGGAAGGGGCACTTCAAATCAAATAAAAATGTTTGAAAGGTCTGAGGCGTACCTGCAAATCCTCCAAGCGGGCCCAGGGGTATGGGCAGGGGAGCCATGGACAGCGAGACATCCCGCGTCTTCTCCTTATCGGACTCGGGCGGGGATTTGCGCGAGGACTTCTCCTCCTCGATGATGTCCTCAATGGGAATCTTAAAATAGAATTTCTTGAGTGCCATGCCCTGGGATCTCTTGTTTCAGTATCACTCACATCTGGCGGCCTAACGGGATTCAGAGGAGCCATAAACTGAACTAATTTTGTGGCCAACTGATGCCACATAATGGAGGCCTCGCAGTAGGCGCATTCGGCCACCTAAAAGGGCACTCAAAATACATTAATTTACGTTCGTAGTTGACGAGTAACGAGCCTCACCTTCAGGGCGCAAACATGGCTGCTGAGACCCACACGGGCCGCTGTGACCATGCACTTGATCAGCCGCGAGACATTCTCGCACACACTCGTATGGATGCCCATGTGCTGCTCCACGTCCTGCAGCTCCATCTGCTTCAGAAGGATGTCCAGCATGAGGATGCAGCAGGTGAGATTGTGCTCGGCATCCGTGGAGAACTCCGTGTGGCGATTGGTGGGCGCCTCATCATCCGATATGGCCGACGTATTGCCAGAGTCATCCTCCACCACAGGAGCTGGGAATTTATTTTGTTATGCTGTGGATTACAAGCTTGCAGTTAAAAAAAAAAAAAGTCTCACAAATGGAACTGCGTCGGGGGGGATTGGCCATCTCTGCCTTGGTCTCCTTGCAGGGCACCTTGGGAGCCTTCGGCTGCTGCAGCTGTGCCGCATCCTTCTCGCGCATCAACTCGTGCTGGATGCCGTACTTCATGATGCGAACGCCATCGCCGAACATCGCAAAGAGCTGCACCAGCGGAATGAGGATCTCCAGCTTCGTGAGGATCTGCAGCCAGTGGAGAGCCTGCTGCTGCACCTTGGCGGTCGTCTTCTCGAAGCGAATGGCCACAAAGTTGTACATTGTCTTGGCATCGAAGCCCAGGGGCGACATCTCCGGATCGAGGATTTTGCTGAGGACGATCTTCAGCTCGTTGAGCTCCTTCTCGGCCACATCGTTGGTGATGGCCTCCATCCAGTGGGGCATGACATAGTCCCAGATCTCCGAGGTGATCACCTCGTACGGCACCAGGCAGATCAGCCGCTGCAGGCCCTCCTTGAGGTGGCTGGTGCGGGAGGCCAGGGTCTCCCAATGGCCGCCGACACGGGCATACTCGGGCGGATGGGGCAGCAGGCAGGCGATGAACACGTTGTAGTGGATGCGGCAGATCTCCTTCAGCCAATTGCAGACATGGTCCACTTTCAGCTTCTCAATGGTGCTCTCCACCTGGCCAGCAGCTGAAAAAGGGAGCATAAAAAGGGGGGCTAAGCGAAAGCTTTTGCCGCCAATTGAAGCGCTTACCATCGTAGGAGTAGGCGGTGACATGGAACCAGTGGAAGAGCATGCTCAGAATCCTGCCCAGCACCTCAACGGGCGTGTCGGCGGTGGGCGTGCAGCGACCGACCAGCAGCCAAATGCCATAGCGGCCCAGCCGCTGACGCTCCTCCCGAGAGATATTATCCGCGGTGCCCGAGGAGCCATTCTTCTTGGCATCCGAGGACGAGGACTCCTTGCCCGGCTCAAAGTTGAGCGGCTTGGACTCGCGCAAGAGGCTCACCACCGACTCCACCATGTGCATCTGCATCTCGGGATCCATCTGCCAGGCGGGCTGCAGGCTGCGGTGCACCACATGATCGCCGCCGCGTCGCGAGTTGTGCCTGTTGCTGTGGCACTGGCTGCAGTAGCGGATGGGATGATTGCCATTGAAGGTGGCACACTCCGTGGAGAAGCAGATGGAGAAGGCGGACTTCTCGTTGGAGCGACAGTTCTTGTTCTCGCAGACCATCGACACCTGCTGCATGGGATGCAGAATGTCGCCAAACTCCAGATTGGCGTGCTCCCGATGGATCTCGTTGGCGCACTCGATGCACAGATAGAGGGGCGGCGGACAGTCCGGGGCGTAGGCGATGCTGATGCTGTGATCATAGCAGACCTTGGCCGCCTCGGCATTCCCGGCATTCGGGCAATGTTCGCGCTGGCAGGTGAAGGGCACAAGGTCGTCTAGGGATTAGCAATAAAGATTAGCAATTTTTTTTTAAAGAATTTTGAAGGGATTTCGCTTACTTGTCAGTTTGGAAAGCAAGACTTTGCGATCAAAGAGATTGGCATCGAAGGCGGGCCAGTAGTAGAAGAGCAGCTTGGCCGCCGAGGAGCGGGAGACAGCGGTGCCGTAGGCCACCACGCACAGGATATCCTTGACGACATTATGCTTGAGGGTCATCAGGCACTCCAGCAGCTGGCAGTGGTGGGCGGGATTGTTGGAATACTGCAGCACCATCATGATCACAGAGGAGACAGACTGACAGGCCTGGCACTCCTGCTCATCGGAGCTGCGACGAGCTAAGGGAAGTCATTAGAAAGCATCAGAAATAATCCTCCAAGAGAGCCTGGGAATACTTACTTATAGTGAAGGGTAAGATATAGTAGCAGAGGGCATTGACTATGTCCTGGTGCAGTGCTGGCGGTAGTACGGATATAGTAGAGCTAACCAGATAGGGTAGATTATCAATAAGATCCTTGTCGAGGAAGGGTAGAATGCAGCTAAGGCACTGCAGTAGAGCTTTGCCGAAAACTAAAGGGCAAATAAAAAGAGAGAGATTAGCAGAATGTTCGGTAAGGTAAATATTCGGTAGATTCGGTAGCTCTTACCAATTTGTCCATACTGGATGCAAGGTGCCACATCGATGAGCATAGTTAGGGCATTGTAGAGATTGCCATATTCAAGATTGGGATAGGCAGACATGCGTGTGGGATCTTCGAGAGGGTCCCTGATAAGTTCGTGCGGTGAAGTGCGCACATCTTTGAGGACAGCTGCAAGGAATCAATCAAAGCAATCAAACAAATCATGCAACAGTTCTCTAGCTATATGATACACTAGGGGTTAGGTAGGGGTTACTCACTTAGTAGAGTTTGTGAAAAGTATTTGATATTGTTGGCAATATCAACGCCAGAGGGGGCGGGTAAGACATTGTGCAATAGACGTACGTGGTAGTCATGAAGGGCTCTCAATTTCGCCTGAACTGCAAGTGGGGAAATATATTGAGACAGATATTGGAGAGACGCCCCATGCCATCGTCTGGTGTATACTTACAGGCGGCAGCACGAGTGCCCATGTTGATGAGTTGCACCTTAAAGCTGCCAGTCATTATATCAGACAAATCCTTAGCATTGCCGAAACTGCTGCCGAGGGACTTCGCATTCTGAAAATGACAAAAATTACAGAGAAACATTTTAAGGAGGTTACGTAATGGAGCTGGAGCACCCCCCGCTGAAGATGCTCTCCATGCGGGGAAAATACTTCAAATCGTGTCAAATTTCATGCCAAACCAAGAAGTTTCATATCCCACAGATGCCTTGGAGGTTTAGGTTTATGTTTCCATTGAATTTACCTCGAAATTTGTTAGTTTTTTCAATAGATTTGCAATTTTTTACGGGTGTTACAGCAAGCCTTGACCACAAAGAAAAATCTCTATAACTAAACTGAAGAATTTTCGGTGTGTATCCTGCGCGATTCCGATATCTGTTGGATGCGCCGCCACCACCCTGCCAGCTTAAAATTACTTTTAGTTGAATTTTGCATACTTTTGGGATAGCTTTTTGACTCGATGGCGCACTTGACACATAAAACTAGTCGAATATTAATTATTTCTATAATATTTGATGATAAATGTAAAGGTATTTCCATAGATTTGAGTCGTGGTTTGAGTTCTTGACCCACTTTGGCCACCCACCCTCGACAGCAGCCCAGGGAAAACAGCTGCTTGAAGCAGGACATGCGCATATCGCGTGTTTATCGCACATTTTCCGCATTTTCCGGTCGCACTTTTCACCCAACAAGTGTTTGTTTTGGTCTATCCATGTGTAAATATTTACTATCTCTAGGAGGCGATTCCAGAGTTTGCGCAGTTTCCCGACAATATTTGTAAATATTTGACAGCTGTTTCTACTTTCAGGCGATGGATGCAACTGGTTGGTGTTGCTCTTTGGAGAGTTTTGCCAGGGAGAGTTTGTGTAGAGTTTGGGTGGAACAATTACTAATCTATCTTTTGTACAAGTACCAGGCCAAGCTTCAAGCCCATCCAATAGCCGCAGCTAACGCACCTCCCACCGCCGCCCCCCCCCATAATACTTAGCTAGGGACTCTAAGATTAAGTGAACAATAATAAATATATAGCTAAGATTTGTATACTTGTCTTAATAGGGAAAATCATAAATAAACCCGTAAAAAAAAAAAAAATCTTTTGTACAAGAGATTCGCGAGGGACAGACTTTTTTTTTAAGACTTCTACTTATGATATTTGGTTTGCTTTTACTGTCACTATAAATATTGTTTAATTTCTCAATAAATTGAACAATAAACACGCAGAAATTTATTGCATTTACATTACTTCAGCAACCCCTTGTAGACCTCCCCCAATGGTTCCACAATTAAATACTCATTTACCAAATGAGATGCACACCTTTTCGGGGGTGTGCCTGCTTTTCCTTTTAGGGCTTCACTGGAAAGCAAAAACCTCGACTACATTCAGAGGGTTTTCTGACTAATGCGGCACCCTTTGACCCTGGTTCCAAAACGTGTTTTGGGCCTGGTAACCGACACCCTGTGGAGCCAACATTTTAACAACTAATTTAACTGAACTTTGCGACCCAATGGAAGGGCCGTCTAGCGATTGGTTTACACCACACAAGACTGCAAGGATTACATTTTACATGCACATGCAGCAGCATTTATTTTGGGGGTTTGTCTGCTTGCAATTAAACATTTTGCTCGTCGAGCAGCGGAAGGCCTTTTTGGTACAAAATGTGTCCAAAAAGTGTGAAAAGTGTGACGCTTTGAGTGCGTATATTGGTGGAAATATTGAAGTCCCCGAGTGTAGAGGATGGATGGAGTAATTAATTGCCAAGAGGTGAGTGTATAAATATTTGTCAGTGTTTTGTCTTTCGGCGCCTGAACGACGCTTTCGACGCTCCGGCTGGTTGGGCCGGGGTGCGGGCACAACTAAAGTAACGATGTTTAGTTGAAGGTGTTTCCCAAGAGGATAGTGTGTTGTTGCTGTTTCTTGGTGTTTGTGTCTTAGTCGTCCTGCAGCCCGTGCAGTGTCAAGGCCACAACGGGCTCCGGCTGCTGCTGGTTTAAGTTTTGAGTGGGCTCAGTGTGCTCCTCGCGGTCAGAGCCCTCGGACATTTCGTCCGATTGATGCTGATCCTGTTTCACCTGCTGCAGCTCGTGCACCTCCTCCATGCCGTCGGACATGCCGTCGGACATGCCAGAGCCGTCATGCTTCTGGGCTTTGGTGCGATTGAAGAGCATCTTCCAGTAGCCCGAAATGGACTCCTTAATGGTGGGCTTCATATTGGGTGAAGGCTTGTTGCTACCCTGGCCCTGGGCCTGCTCCTGCTGCTGCTGCTCCTCGCCAGCATCAGTGGCCTCAGTGCTAGCCGAAGAAGATGGTTCATCGGATACATCTGTAAGGATAATCAAGAATTAATTGCAGTTCGTTCTCTTTGTGCTATATGCTAGTTGCTAGTTGCTTACCCTTGTGTGCATGCTTGAAGCGCGTGAAGAAACGACCCACCGTATTGTTCTTGCTTGGATCCTTCTGGCGTACGACCGATTCGTTCGCATCTTGCAGTTCGTCCTGCAGGTTGTGCGGCTTCTTGCTCAGCTTGAAGAAGCGCTTCAGCGAACTGGACTTTGTTGTGGCTGTCGATGAGGCCACCGAACCGGCCATCACCTCCGGCTCGGCCAGCGGTACATCCTGCATGTTGGACATCGTCGTTTGAGGTCCGAAAATGCCAAGCGAAATGTTCTAAAAAATGTTGTCAATTGTTAAATTTTCTATTTTTCAGGCTATTTTTCGACAAGGGGCTCAGCTCAGCTCGTCACGTATGGAAAATATAATGGAAGTGAGCAGGGGAGCGCACTGGCTACGAATGTGATTGACAGGAGAGTCAGCGACTACTTTCCCATACGAAAATCTCTGTCTGTGCGGCACTGATTTTTTGTTTTGTTTTGTTTGTTGGCTTGGTAGTTCCGAGACGTGAAGTCGTATCACAATATAATGGAACTGAGCGCTACCGACTTGGATGTGCCGAAAAGTCAAGGCCTGCTACTGTCTCTCCCTCTCCCTCTCCCTCTCTCTCTCTCTCTCTGGGGTAACTTCGATTGGGAAATCCAGAGTTTGGCAATTTGGAAATTTATATGTTATCTCTCTGGGCAATTTGGCGACGCTCTCGGGTAACATGTGTTAACAACGACATCGAAACAGGTTTCAATTGATCCGATTTTAATTTTATATTCCCCCCACAGAGCCAAACGCGAATCCACACAAAAACAAAACCAAAACCAAAGAGGGAATCCAAAGCACAAAAACAAAACCAATTCATTCAATATGTGCACACGGCACACAACAATACCCCCGTTGGTATTCTGTGTGTGTGTGTGTGTGTGTTTTGCCATTGTTCCAAATGTCCGCTTGGATGTCCAGTGTGGCAGACTGTAGAGAGTGGGGCAGCCCACCAACAAAGTCGTTTCAAAAATCAATTGACAAGGAACTCTGGTGGCGATTCCTGCTGTCCACCTCCACCTCCACCACCGCTCTGCCTGCCTGCCTGCTCCGAGGAGTACTTTAATTTATGTAGTTATGTGCGGCAGATACACCGCAAACAATGGACTTTTGTTCGCTGCTGAGGTGTTGAGATTTTAAACGATTACGAGACGAGTACGATACGGATACGAAGCAGCACACGCAAAGAGACGAGCTTTAATGTTTCATATGATATTAATTTCCTGCACCCTCCGCCCTGCACAGCACACAACAAAAAGCTAATGGGGAAAAAGCGCAACCCCCCAAGCAAACAACAAAACAGAACAACAAAGAGACATCAATAAATCATCAAGAATAAAACACGAGAAAAGGGAAATGAACAAGGATAATGCCATCTACAACATCTGCTCCAGTCCACTCCACTCTACTCACTCTCCAGGCAAAAGTGTGAAAATGTCAGCGACAATGGGGGGGCTGTGGCTGTGGCTATGGCTATGGCTATGGTTATGGTTACTCCTCTTCGCATAGAACCGGGCGCCATATAATGGCCAAAACGGAAATGTTGTTTGCAGCAAATTCATGGCCAATACACAGTTGCAATAAGAGCCGGCATAAGCACCCCCTGAGGGTTTACGCAGCAGCCACACAAAAGGATAGGAGCTGCCACTGAAGCTGTAGCTGCCACTGAAGCTGTAGCTGGAACTGGAGAGAGAGAGAGCTACAACAATGGCAGCAGAAGCTGCAACTTGCAACTGCAACTGGAGACCGCAAAATGTGTTGTTGCCACACAGACAGGCAGACAGACAGAGACACACAGCCCTCAAGGCAATGGTTGGGGAGATGATGGGAGATGCTGCTGCTGCTGCGATGGAGAGGCAGAGGCAACTCATAAGTTGGTCTGGCAGACAAATCCTCAGAGCAAGTGCATTCATTCATTGGCAATAACAATCAAACTGCTGTTGGCAGTTGGGAGCCAGCCCTTCTCTCCACTCGCCTGCTCTCCTCTCCGCACACATTTGCAATGCCATTCAACTTGTTTGTGCTGCCTGCCTGCCTGCCTGCCGACAACAGCCACAGCAAACCACAAAACCATTTTGTGTTGTTGACTTTAATATTTTGGTTTTTGGTTTGAAGTACAACACAGTACAATTCTACAGCACAATCCCCCCCTGCCCAAACTGCCTTCTAACTGGATAGATATCTCTTCTATGTGGGAAAGGTAAACCTTAAACAGTAACCGATAAAGAGAACCCCCTCCCCCCCCCCCAGAGTCGTAAATCGTGGAATTTTCTTACATTTTGGCACTGCCGTTCGGTTCGGTTCGGTTTTATAGATTTACAATATTTACATAGTTCCAGTCCACAGATAACGAAGCGATAAAGAGTTCAATCGCTTCGGTTTATTGGCCCCTGTGGATGGGGGGAATATCATCCATCGTTTGTTCAATTACCGCGCTTCGCCAGAGAGTGAGTCTCTGACTCTTTCTGCATTTTAAATAAATATCATTGTATAATGATAATAATAATCCAGCCATGCGATGTGTGTGGATTGTGTAATCATTGATAAAAATGGGTTGGGTTGGTTATTTTTTATGACCCCACGGGGTGGGGGGAGACTCCTAGCATTAATGGAGAATAATTATGAGCAGAAAGTAGGGCCTAAGCCTAAGTATTACTACCCTTAAATGTAAGGTTTTACCTGCTTCCTTTATCGACTGATCGCTATCGAAGAGTTGCTTGCGATGGCCTCACTATGTCCCTTTATCGATGAACAGTCCATGAGGGCGCCGCAGCGCATTTCTCCAGATGATTTGTAATCCTTAAATGATAAAAATCCTAATAAATAATCGTAATATGCTCAGGGAAATTCATCCAATTATACCTCTAGTTTGCTCCTGCTGCCATCGAATGACCGTTGTAGTTTTGTTACACTTTCCATCCACCGATAAGCTTCCCTCATTACTCAGCCAAATGAACAGCACCTGCAAGAGCAGCATAATCTTCGTTAATAAGTCACAATATGGGCAAGAAGTTAATCAATAATACCAGTAGCCATAAATTGGAGGCGCCTGGATATCGACTGATGGCTATCAAAGGCGCCAGCGGCTGCGGCTGGGGCTGCGCCTGCGGCAGTCACCAGAATGTCAACGGTTTAATAAATAAAATCAGTCAACAGCAGCAGCAGCAGCAACAGCCTCTGGCCAGATGGGGAGCAGGCGGCGCGCGACTGCAATTAAAAGAAAAAACAAAAAAAAGTGCAATATAAAAAAAGGGAAGCCAAGTGCGGCAAAGCAAAGATCTACTCAGAGATCAGTCAGAGCCAGAGCAGAGGTCTCCCCGATGATGTGGCTGTCGTCGTTGTTGTTGTTGTCGTCGTGTGCGACAGGAGCTGATTGTCGGTCGTTGCAGCAGATCCGAATCAGAATCAGAATCGGAATCAGCATCGAAATCAGCGTCGACACTGCGCGATATTTGAGTCTCCGGTCTGCAGAATTATGATCGATTTATTATGCGACAACAAGCGACGGTGCAACAGGAACAGCAACCAGGCAGCGGGCAACAGGCAACGGGCAACAGGGCGACGAGCGACGAGCGACCAGAGACGGCAGCGACATGGCTAACGACAACACAGCAGACATGGCCAAGTGGCTGTGACAGGTTTGGGGTCTCCGTCTTGGATGGAGCTGCTGCTCTGTGTTCTCTGGCGGGTTCTTGGCCCACAGAATATGCGCAAGACATTGATTTTCGCCAGGTAATGAGGCAACTCATTAATCATTTTTTCGTTGCGCACACAGTCGCCACACAGCCACCAGACACTGGCTGCGGGGATTATGTTGCTTGCAACAGGCACACACACACCACACACACACCCATACTGCGGCAATGGCAACTGTTGCTTTGGCTGCTGCTGCTGCTGCTGCTGACGGAATGTTGGCAACATGTTGGGGCATGCAGCCAGCCACAGCCGCTGGCTGGGATCGGGACAGCTGCAGCACCACCAGCATCAGAATCAGCACCAGCACCAGCACCAGCAGCTTCTCATCTCTTTCTCTCTCTCTCTCTCGCTCTCTCCTGCCACCGCCTGGCTGCTGCTGTCTGCTGTCTTCTCTTCTTGTTCTCTGCTTGATTTTGTTAACCTTTTGACCATTTGAAGTTATTTTTGTATGCTTTACTGCCAATTTGGTGGTCATTGGCCATTCACTTGACTTGCGCCTGTTGCCTGCTTGTCCGCCTGTCTCTGCGGTTGCTCTTTTGGCACACAACGACGCACCATGTCTGACAGTTTGGCCGATTGCCTGCCTCGCTGCCTGCCTGCCTGCCGCTTGCTTGCTTCCTTGTGGCCTCTGTCGTGCGTTGCCTTCGCGGTCGCGGTCATCTCCTGGCTGGCTTGTGGCACACACACACACACACTGGCTGCCAGGATGGCAGATTGAATGATGCTGCAGCGGATCTGGTTGGGTCTGGTCTGGTATGGTCTGTGGGTTCCAATGAATGCTCTACAGATGGAAGTTTGAGCGTTGAGTTCTACGATTTAGTCATATTTATTTAGTAAAAAAAACCTACCCAAAAATCAGTGGGGCAAATGTGAGATTCCTGTAGCATCTATTTACGATATAGTGCTCCGATATTGCTCAACATTTGCTGAAATAAAAGAAATGATTTAATTTCAGTGGAAATTCCTACTAAAACTTATCCCTTAAGCGATTCTTGCTCTGCATAAGATATGCCAAGGATCTGAAGACTCGGACGTGGCCTTATCGACTGCTTGGTATCTGATCTATCAAAGATGCTTCCTTCCTTAACTTGCAAACGCCTCCCTCGAATCACAGTGCACCTCCCAAGACAGAGTACTCCTGAGCAGGGTATACTAGCCAGCACCTGCGCTGGCCTATTGCACTTGTCTCTCTCGTCGCACAGTTTGTGGCCACAGCTTGTAAATGCTTGTCGTCGTCGCTTGGCCGTTTTGGGGGCCATTAGCCTTCGCCTTTGGGCCATTCGCACACGCACACACGCACTCCAATCCGTACATGAAAATTTCTGGCAAAATTTCTTCATTTCCTCCTGCAGTTGTTGGCTGGCAATTATTTATAGTTGTTTCTGATGTATTCAATTTACTATGCAGATGCAGGCAGATGCTTATGCCTGTGCTTATGCATTTTGCTGTTAGAAAGTTTTCTGCTAAATACTCGGGCGTGGGGCACTCGATGGATGGCTGACTGCTAACATATTGGCAGATAATTCATTGCGCAGAACGTGGAAGTTCTGTAAGCAGTAAACAAAATATAAACAGATTTATTAGTTCTTGATATTCCCCATTTGATGAACGATTTTTCACACACTCCACACTCCACCACATTGATCGTAGCCCAATCGATTGGCTCTATCAAAATCCACTTAAAGTTCATCACACTTCAGGTGGTAATTAATTATGGTAGCAAAAACCATCCAGCACTCTCACTCTCTGCCAGAGATCTCCTCGGTAATTAAGAGACAACTTCATTTTGAAGGTTGGCCAATGGCCGATCCACAGCAGCCAGCAGACAGCCAGCCACAGCGATCGACATGCAATTTTCCATGCATTAAAAGTTTAAAGGCCAGAAGCAGCAGCAAGCAGCAGCATCACCACTAGACAAAAAACATTTTCTAATTTATTAATATGTTTAAGAGCTGCCTCTTGGACACAAAATCGAATGAAAACAAAAAATGTATTTAACAAACAAGCGATCGGATCGACTGACAGCTAACATAGATCGCCATGGACCATTAGAAAGCGATTAGATAGCGATACAGATACAGATACTGCGGTAGATTATCCCCCAAAAGACATATGTAGCCCACGAGCAGCGCCAGCACCGCCAGCACCGCCGAAACAATGTCAGTTTGTGGGTTCCCTCTGGGGTCCAGCTCCCCCGCCCTCCCCCTGGATGCCCCTGGCTACCACTGGCTACCCCTGGCTAATGCTAAAAGTCGAACGAACAATGGCAGCTAAACATGGCATGGTTAACAGTTTAATTTTGCTTCTCCTCCGCCTCCGCCTCGTTCGGCTGCTTCTACTCCTCCGAGCCAAAGAGACAAACAAAAAATGCCGCTACATGCGGATACTTAATGTATCCGCCAGATACGTAACTGAGCCACAGTGCAGCCAACAAACACACACAAAAAAAAAACCCCCAATATAAAATACCGCTCTCAATCTCAGGACTAAACAAAAGCAAATCTAAACAGTAAGCAGCAAGAAAGAAAAAAAAAACACCAACTGCAGTTATCGCTCATTATGGATCGCTTGATCAATGGTTTCGAGCAGATAGAGCGAGGGAGAGGGAGAGAGAGAGAGAGCGAGAGATCTGCCCCCCGAAGAAAAAACGCATACAGTCTGCAGACTGCAGACTACAGAAAACAAAGGAGGCTGGCTTCAGGTCAGGCCAACAAGTGTTGGCCACAACGCACAACACAGACCCAGAGGCCAGAGGCAACGGGCAAAAAGTTAGAGCCAAAAACGGTAACAATAAAGCAGCTTCCGCCTGGCATCCTTTTTCGGTCCTCATTTTGCATGCCCTGCTATGAAAAAAAGTGTAGCAATACTTAATACCCGTTGAAAATTAATCCACAACTGTAGGGTATGGGTCGAGACGCACTTTATGGGGCGCTACATTTACAGGTCTCAAAGGATCAACTTTTAATTTGGATCTTTTAAATGAAGAGAAGTATGTTAATTTGTATTACAAAATTCAGGGATTTTCCTTCCACTTTTTGTAGCTTTAAATCCGTTCGTTTAGTTCGGAAATATTCCACATATATTTTATCCTTTATTTGTTATCCGCCCATGTAAGCGACCTTCAGACTGTCTGCTATGCCCGAAGCTTTGATACCATTTCATTATGCTAATAAAGCATTTAATTAACGCACCATTTATGGGCATCAACCCGAACTTTCCTTTGGCCTCCGCCTCAACCTCAACCTCAACCACATCCACAGCTCCATCTGCATTCTCCCCCAGCTCGCGCGATTCCACATCCACATCCTCATTCATATCTGCATTGTGGTGCGTGCAGCGTATCGGCCGCAGAAAAAACACAGCTGCGGTTTAGGCGGCATTATGGCTAAGACAGCAGCAAAAACCACCTTAAGTAAAGTAAAGTAAAACAGAAACAAAAATGCGGTAACCGCAAATGTTTTGCTGTAATTTCTGGTGTTTTTTTTGTTGTTGTTTTGTTTTTCGCTTAAACGTTTTCGATTTGGATGCAGATACAGATACACTTCTCAGATATACTTTCAATGACCGGGCTCCGGCCTGGCCTTCTGCCTTGCTGCTTTTTTGTTCGATTGCCGAAATGACATTGAAATGCATAGGGTTTTTGGTCCGACTTTTGATTCACGCGAATGCGGCCAGAGATTCGTTTCGGTTGAGCAGCTATATAGGAGGGCGGTTCTTGAATGTTTTTATGGGGTTTTCTGTTTGGATTTTTTAGGTTTTAAAGGCCCTGGGAATTGATTTATGAAGTCGGGCAGCGTTGAAAAGGTAGCCGGCAGGATATGTGTGTATCCCATGTCTGACAATATTGCTGATCTCGCAGCCAAGTAATTTCGCTATAAATCAGAAATCACTTCTTTGGATTCAGCACAAAAATCCCGCTTTAAGCCAAGAGTTCATTGCATTCTTCACACATTTTCCTGCTAGTTTCTAAGTAGTTTTCTATGTCAGCGGCTCGCATTACCCACCCGATTTGGTGGCACTATAACCATTTTGCATATTCATAGCCAAACGGCATAGCGACTCCCAACTCCCAACCTCCCAGCCTCCATAACCATACGCACAACTCCTCGCCAGCTGTCAAACGGAACAATGATAATTTCCACAAGCCAAAAACTGGCTTCTACTTCTGCTGGCTAAAAAAACAGAATACTGAATACAGAATACTGAAGCCAAGGAAACATTTTGGCCAGTACCGTTAGCGGGGCCATAACCCATCAATTATATTGTAATGATGTCTGGGGCTTCAGTTGAAGCTACTTCTTCGAATGCTACTTCTGCTGGCAGTCGCATCTTCAGAAATCATGAGGCAACAGGAATGGCAACTGCAGAACATGCTCATTATCAAGCGAATGGGTTGAAGGAGCTACGAGGGGCAGGGCAGGGTGCTAGTACGGTAGCGTATTAGAATGCCAGCAGAGAGGAAAGACAGAGGAGAGAGAGAGAGGGGAGAGAGGACAGATCCCAGAGACTCAGAGCATTCAAGTTCGAAAAGGAAAACTACTTATAGCACTGCTGATGAGAATCGCGCCCAGCCAAAATCCGAAATCCACGCAGCCTGACACTCGCTTTGGTATGTGGCATGCACTGGCAGATAATGCGCCAAAAAGTTACCATATGATTGAGAAAAAAGTCTGCACTCCGGAGAGTGTTTTCAATGCTGCAACGTGACATTAATCCTGATATTTTGTGCAGATTTATATGCCTCGTAAGAGTGTGATAGCCGCCTGTTCCTTTGGATATTTTAGGTTGAAATTTGACTCGAACTTATCACTATTCCCAGTATCTTCCTCATTGGCTGCCTCTAAGAATTAATAAAAGAATCCATTTCTACCTTTTACTTACATTCATTTAATCCTCCATTTGTGCCTTATTTTGCCTTATTTTATTGCAGTGTATATCCTCTGTCCACTCTGTGTAGCATTTGCATTCGAGTGTCCACTAAATGTCAATTAAGTGGGCTTTAACCACAGTCACAGTCCACAGTCCACAGTCTAGTGTCCAGAGGCAGCACTTTCCGGAGTCCCTCCTGAGCCCATGCGTCCCTGATTCTTCGCCCTCTGGATGCGGGTCTCCAACTGCGATTTCCACTTTGCTTACTACAAATACAGAACAGAAATGAACAGAACATAACATAACATAACATGAAGTAATAGCAATAACAATATTGTCCACACACACACACTCACCGCTTGCAGCACACCGCTTCTGCCCCTGCCCTGACACTGCCCTGCCACTGCCACTGCCACTGCCTCTGCCACTGCCCTGCCTCTGCTTCTACGTCTGTCTGTTCCTTTTTGTTGGTGGAGGTGGCTCTCTAGGAGTTTGTGTCTCCTGCTAGATGGCTGGAACCATCATCATCATCATCATTATCGTCATTATTATGATCATCTGCATGTGTGAGCCTCTCCCAGTGGCGGCTCCCTTTGTCATTTTGTGGCATGACGCATGCGTAACGTTCGATTTGATTCAATTAATGGATGGGAATTGTCTGTACGTGTGGTTTGATTGGGTTTGCTGGATCTCTCGCTGTGAGATCTGTTCTGGGCTCCGTTCGCTTTGCTTTGCTTTGCTTAGCTTTGGTTTTGGTTTTTAGTCTCTGATCCACGCAGACTTTGAGGCAGACTCTTCTCTGTGGATGATGTTGCCTGTGGCAGATGTAGCAGAAGCTGGAGTGGAGTGTAGTATGGAGTGTAGTGCTGTGTAAACATGCAAAGTGTTGCTGCTGCAAAGAGAAGAGTTTCAGGGACTTGTCAGATGTGTGTTTAACGCGTACAAAAAGTGACTTATAGCAGCAGCTGCTGTAGCCATATAAAAGGATTAATTCAAGCCCCAAAAAACGATATTGTTTCCCCCCGTTTCAGCTCGAATAATACACGATCTGTGGCTCCCTGCTAATTGATTGAATGCACAATAATTGGTAGCTCTCATGATTAATTGCCATTTTATTCCACAATCACGAAATACCAAATACGCCCCGCTCCGCCTCCCCTTCTCGAACCATTATAACTGAAAGCACTCCACTCATAATACTAATACTCATAATGATTATCTTTAAGACTAAACGCCCGCATTGTCGCGTCAAATATATCCAGTTTTAAGCATCAGAAAATACAGCGACGGACGGGCATAATATTTTCCATAGACAGTTGTTTTATTTGTCAAGTGTGCAATTATTTATAGTTGGGAGACGACGCCAACGCCAACGCCAATTGCAGGCAGGCAGTCAGTCAGTCAGGCAGTCAGCAGCTGGGACTGGCACTGATACTTGCGGCTTTTAGCCAACAATTGTTGCTGCCTGCCTGCCTGCTGCTGCTGCATAATAATAATACCAATTGCAGTTGCAGTTTAAGTTGGGATCTCTGACTGTCGTTCGTCGAACAATTAACAATTTTTAACCTTGTTGTGCATGATGCATATGTCTATGATCATCTCTCTGCTGTCTGTGTGTGTGTGTGTGTGTGGATTCCATGATGATCATCTGCATAATCATGAGCTCTGGTATTCCACTCCATAGTAAATACAACTCGTAATGATGATGATGCTGCTGCATCCCACTCGGCTGGGTCGTGTGCATAAAAAAGCTGCTAAATTGTTTCGAATTTTTAGCATTTTGTGGCATTTGCATACTTAGCCACTTGCAGCAGGCAGCTCGAGTGCTCTTTCGATTTCGATTTCGGATTTTGCAATTGAAATGATTTCGCTTTGAAGATTTCGATATCATATATTGATGCTTCGTATTGCAAAATGTATTTTTGCATTTGCATTTACATAATCGATGGATGGTTGGTTGGCTGCTGATTGCAACGGGCGTCTCTCGCCCGTCGTCTGGCATAATTAATTATGAAAGTTTTAATTGATTTTCAAATTTATGCATCGTTATGTACGCTATACGATATTCTCGTTAGCATTTGAGCAGTTTGTGGCTAAAACTAAGATGACATCGATGGGGCTTTGATGGGGTTTTGCGTAGCCTAAGAGTGTGGCTCGACTAGTAAAGGTTACGACTTGTTTTGATTGGTTTTGCTATTATAGAAACTGCAATTGCAGTTGTTTAGTCTATAAAAATTATTCGAAATTTAGTTTAAACTTAGCAGAAAGTCTCCCACGATTTTTCGACTAGTTTTGCCATCGTTGCTGCTGTATTCTGTATTAAAGTTTGCTTCAACTTAGCAGTAACTCCCCCGTAAATAATCTCCATAAATAGCAGGCATAACACTGCAGGCCGCTGCAACTGCCACACTCACACACACACTCACGCACACACTCACTCATCAGAAGAGAAGTGCAATCAGAGTAGCGTGACTTTAGTTGTGTTTTTTTTTTTGTTTTGTTTCTTTTGCTTTGCTGGCACAAAAAGTGAAGGTTGAAAAATCTCTGGAAAGGCAACAATTAATGCTCTAATAAAGCCAGCAAGCCAGCCAGCAAGCAAGAAAGAAAGAAAGACCACAAATGTGATGGTGGTGGCATGTGGCATGTGGCAGATGCAACGCATCTCGACGACGACCAGCGACAGTCGCTGATTGAAGTTCCGTTAATAATGTTGTCGAAGCGTTGCAATGCCTCGATAAGCGCTCTCGTTTTGACGCTATATTATGTGGGCGTGGTGGCAGCCGTCGTCGTCGTCGGTGGCAATGATTTTGTGACCATGGGCATGAGCAGGAGCAGGAGTAGGCGTGGCCCAACGATCACGGAGCGTCCTGGCGGCATGGTAATGGAGGGCATTGGATTCCAGTACACGATGCGCTATCAGCCGGGCTTCCATCTGCACAAGCTGTTTGCCCTGCCGCAGGAGGAGGAGGAGCCACCGGCGGCAGAGATGCCCATGGCCACACCAGAGCCGCCACCAGCACCGCCGCCAGAGCCCACGCCAGAGGAGGAGGATCCTGACGCGCCAGAGCCAACGATACCCATGCGCACGACATCCGCACCTGTGGAGCCCCCGCCAGAGGAGGGATCGCCCTCAGCATCACCATCGCCAGGAACGGATGAAATGATGCCCACCAGTCCGACGCCTGCGCCGCCAGAGACGAAGCCCACAAAAAGACCCACGATGAGGCCACCGCCAGGGCCAGGGCCAGGGCCTCCGATGCTGCCTGCTCCAAGCAGCAGCAAGACCTCCATTATGCAGCCCCAACAGACGCTCAAGAATCTGCTCTTTGGCTCGCCCATCGAAGCGAATCTCATACTGAAGCAGCCGAGTGCACCCAAGTCGCGGGGCAAAGGCTTCCTCAGTCTGTTCGAGGTGATCAAGTTTCCCAACACCAAGTGCAGCGTCTCCATGGGCGACATACGCACCATGGAGGGTGTCTGCTACCACGAGTTCGAGTGCAAGAGCCTGGGTGGCATTCCCACCGACAGCTGTGCCGAGGGCGTGGGCGTCTGCTGTGTCTGTGAGTGAAAGTTGCAGCAGTCCGAGAGGATTTCCATTTGCATCTACTTGTAATTTCTACTTTGGCAGTTGTCAACGGATGTGGCGATGTCACTGGCCAGCAGATCGTTTACTTTGAGAGCCCCAACTATCCGAATGCAGTGCGGGAGATGATGATCTGTGTGCTGATCCTCAATGTGCGCAAGGGAGTGCAGCAGCTACGATTGGACTTTCAAATGTTTGAGGTGCGACGAAGAAGAGGAGCGAGATCTGTAATCTGTGATCTGTGATCTTTATTGATGCATTATCTGCCCCTTTTAGCTGAGTCGCCCCACCAATGGCGATTGCCTGGACGATCAGTTTATAGTTTCTGGCCACAATACCAATTTCCAGATACCCACACTCTGTGGCATCAACACGGGGCAGCACAGTAAGCTCCTCAACATTCTCTGGCTACCAGCTCTGAGTATCAATCCCTCGTTTCAGTCTATATCCACGTTGGCGACTCCAACGAGGGCAAGGTGTATCTTTCTGTGTTTGTCAAAGTCTCTGGTGGGGCACGCTCTTTCAATATCAAAGTCACCCAAGTGGAGGAGGATCTGGCGCCCAATAATTGTCTGCAATACTTCAGCGAAACGGAAGGCATTGTCAAGTCCTTCAACTACGATATAGATGGTTCCATTGTGGACAACAGAGAGGCCACATATTTTGTGAGTATTTCCCCTATAAATTGTTTAAGCTTTGCGCTTCTATGGAATGATTTTTCTCTGCAGAACAATCTCAATTATGCCATATGCCTGTCGCGTATGCGGAATGTCTGCAGCGTGAGCTACAGCACCGAGCAATTGGGCGGCGATCAGCCAGATTTTCAGATTGTCAACAAAGATGAAGGTAAAGCCACATTCAAATCAAATTATTGAACTTTCCCTAAAGACTATACGGCTTTTTTTCCAGCCGAAAACGATCTCGTTTCTGATGGGCAAGCGGGCGCTGGTATTTTCAATTGCCCTGACGATTTTATAGCCATCAATTCGGTGCCGTTGTGTGGCGAGCGATTCAACGATGGCCGCGAGACTGAAGACTTTACAATGCATTCAACGGTGAGGGATACGGCCGCCGGTCCCATCATTCTGCCCTTTCGCACCGATGCCGAATATGTGGGTCGCGGCTTTCGTTTGCTCTACAGACAGGAACTGTGTGTCTGATCTGGGGGGAAACATCTCTCCAACTCCATCTCCATGTCGATTTCTGGTTCATATACATAAACCATAGCTGATGGATGGATAGATGGATGGATAGCCTGCCTTTCTGCCTTTGCCCGTTGTTTCGGTGTTTGCAAATAAAAAAATGGAATCTTTTACGCTTTGGTCAAAACTTGGGGGCATTTGATTTTGTTATGGGAACGACATCCATATCCGTTGCTTTGCTAGGGCAGCACCGCACTCTACACTCTGGCTGGTCCCCCCGTGTTAATGTGTTTTTTTGGTGTGATTTGGTGGCTTAGTTTTGGCGCCGCCCACCCACCGTCACGTCAGGAGGCGGTTACGGGTCTGGGGTCCTCCAGAGGTTCGTAGGTTCACACACCATTCGGTTCTCCTGCTCCCCACATTAGGAGGCATCCGCGTTGGTGTTTGTTGACAGGTTTATTTCAAATTTGCACATCCAAAAAAAATAGAAAAAAAATAATAAAATAGATACTATGACGAAATCTATAACTTGCCGCATCGCCATAGCGACGACTTCGACTTCGACTCCGACTCCTATATTCGTTCGTGCGATTTCTATGCTTAAATTTGTAATAAATTTGATTTTTTCCTTTCGATTGCAACGGACGCAAAAGCAACGGATGGATGTGATTTTTTTTTTGTTTCCCTTCTTTCCCTTCGTTTTTTCTGGCATCTCCAACTGTCTGTCTGTCTGTTGGTTGGTTCCATGATAAAGTCACAATTAACCCACGCCTTTTTCGTAGCGGTACCCTCTCGTGCACATACATTTGCATATCATTTTGATTGTTTCGCGATTCGGAGGGGGCTGAACCCGGCGACATCATGTCATGACTATCTATCCGCCGCTTGGATGACTGACTGTAAAAGTGTCGTACACTAGTCGCTCCAACAACAACTAGACCAAAGCAATCATCCACAGAGCTACAGCAACAACAACAACAACAAAAAATTACTTCTCGACCAACAATAGAAAATGAAAGAAACCCCCAAAAAACAAAATGCAAACAGCAAAAACCAACAAAAAGCAGCAAAAACCAACAAAAAAAATCACAAAGCATTATTGCATGGAAAAGTTTTTGAAGTTTGTCATCAAATGACGTTTTGCGGATACCTTTTCTGGGCACACACCACACGAACCCTTAGAGGCAGGCATAGTGGTGCCAGGATATTTATAAATAGTATTTGGAATTGAAGTTGTTTTAAAGAATTAGAGTGCAAGTATAAAAATTGTGGAACAGAAAACAATAGCAGAGTTGAAGCAAATGTCCGGCAGTAATTATAAACAATATTAAAATTTAATTTTTATACTTAAATATTTATGGGAAAAATTATAGAACAAAATTAATAAGAACTATACGCCTTTGCCTTCCTACAAATCAGAGGAAGATAAGAAGAAAATTACATTTTGTATGGACAATCCAGTCGATCTTTCTTAGGATGGTATGTGATCCTTTAACTGGCAAAAAAGTATGGAACCAATATACAAGAGAGCCTTCAGTATTATAATATTTACATATTTTTAATATTATGATTATTTCGTACTACATTTCTTGCATCATCAATCGTTTCCCCATGCATTTTCCCCAACAGTCCCAGCACACTGTACAAGTACCTTACCTCTCTCATTGCACACCAACGCCACGCCACGCCAGCACATAAATAAATAAAAACCGTAAGAAAATCTAAGAAAAAAGGAGACACAAAAATGGTTATAAAATAAAATAAAAATCCCTTCAGGGCGTAACGTGCACTACATTAGAAATTGAAAATCCACCGACACCGCCGACACCGCCATTCGCCGACTGACGACGACAAACAAAAAGACTTCAACGATGACGATGACGAGGACGTTGTCGGGCTGGAGACGACATCGCCCGCCATCGACATCGAGACATCGCCGCTGAGTCCAAAAGACAACATGAGAATCTTTTTGGCCAAAAGCAAAAGGCACAAAGAAAAACTCAAAGCGCCGTTTGATGGAAATTAGGGAAACTGAAATTCATTTTTGTGTTTTTTTTTGTTTTTTTTGAGGTTTGGTTTTTGGTTTTTTGGCCTGATTTTGTTGGGGGTGTGGGAACCAAAAGGGAACAACTGCAAGCGTGCATGGCAACGCCTTTTGTCACAGACTGTAACCTCCACTCCACTCCACACCACACACCACTCCACACTGCATTTGCATTTGCATAATTTAATCAATGGAATGAGAAATGAGAGAGGACAACCAAGCAAAAGGTGAAAACACAGCCATCATCAACACAGCAGAGCATAGCACAGCACAGCACAGGCTATATGCCATGTCGTGGTAATCAAAGTTAAATACCTGAAAGAAATCACAAGGAAATCTCTTGGAAATCTGTTGGAAATCTCCTGGTAGGCAACACACTTCATGGGGCTTTAATTGTCCCGCCGGTTCGGTTCGGTTCCACTCCACTCCGAGCACCCAAAAACAGTCATCGCCAGTGGCCAATCGAGAGGAGGCCAGTCCACTCCACACTGCACACTCCAGTGGCATGCCACACAGAGATCACAATCTGCCTCCCAAGCGCGGAACAGATCAATGCAAGGGGGCAGCAAGCCAATCAGATTGAAATGGGACAAAATATTGGCAAAAATGCCAATAAATTTTTGACAAGACATTATACAAATGCTGTCTTTATTAAAAACAGACTCTGGAACAGACCACTGGACTGGACCACCGCATGGGTTTTGTTAATTGCACAAACTTATCGAACAAATACTCGTAAAATGCCAGCAAGCCAGCCAGCCAGCAGCAGCAGCAGCATTCGGCATGCGCCCCGTACCAGACACAGACCCAAGACCCAAATAAAGCGATCAACGAAACGATCGAAGATCTCTTTGGGAATCTCTTTGGGAAGCTCCCTCTACTGCTCTTTCTTATCGCTGCAAGTCTATCTAATGAGCGGGGCTCCAAGTATTTCTCGTTTCTTCTGCAGCAATTAATTTATTAACTGGTTGGACAGTCGATCATTTGGCCGTTCGTTAATGGTTCTGTAAGCGGCATGAGGTCCGAGGTTCGCGGCGGTCCTGGCTACGGGCGGAGGAATCTTCTCTCTATTTAAATCCCAATCGATCGATCGATGATCGAGTCCCATAAACTGGCTGGAGTGCCTTGTCGTAACTCAAAATAATTAGTCATTGCGGAGGAATAAATGTGGAATGCGAATCATCAGAATCATCATCGATTTGCACAGTTTTTCACTACGCAAAAGGGCCTTCAAAATGATGTAAAATGAAGCACAGAAGTACAGGAATATAACACTGTATGCCAGCCAAGCAAGAGGGTTCCAGATCCCAGATCCATTTCCAATTACAGAAAAAAGTGAGAGAGAGAGAGAGACACTTGACCCCTGACCCAAAGAGCAAGCAAAGGGAAACTGCGACGACAATCATTATGGGGGCCAAAGGAATGGATTCGCAATGGATTATTATACGATGCGGAGGCACCCACTCCTTAAGCTCTGCGCTGACTTTGAAGATGCCACCCCGAGGGGTGCGGTACCCCTGGTACCACAGGGAGGTAGTAACCAAAGTGACATTGCAGCGAACACATCAAGTGAGCATTTTATGATTCACGCTTGCATTCAAAATCTCATCTCATCTCCCCAAACAAATGGCAAACAAAACGTCTATGAAACGTAAGTACCCAAAAGCAGGGGTATGAAAAGGGGTACGAGACACGGCGGGGGACTGGGGCTCAACTTCACGCCGTAATTAAACTGTCTTCTCGGTTTGTTGTGTGTGCCCGTAGTAGTAGTAGTCGTAGTACAGGCATTCAACCATTCAGCCGTCCAAAATCCATACCCAAGTGCCATTTAAAGTTTCTTTTACTTAAAAAATTCCCCCGCGAACACCTCATACGTGTGCCGCTCTGCTGATATGTATTTGTGTCGTTTTTCACACTATTTTCTACTAATTTTAACGATTTTGTTCAACTCAACGACGAATCGGTTCAGAGTCAGAAATGGAAATGGAGATGGAGACATGCCTTTTGGGCTCTGTGCTCTGGGCTCTGGGTCTTTTTTCTTTGGTCTTCCCACTGGCCATTTTATTGCCGCACTTTTAGCACATTTCGCTGACGCTGACGCTGTCGTTGTCGTTGTCGTTGTGTTGGCCATTTATTTACATGTGTAAAAATGCTAAGTGCCTAAATGCCTTCCCGCTGCCTGCCTGTTGTGCTGCCGGTCAACTTACAGTTCACTTCACTTCACTTCGATGGCAGATGGCAGTAGTGGAGTACAATGGAAATTGGCACATGGGAGACTTTTTTCTCTCTCTCTCTCCTACTCTTAGTTTGGGTATTGTTTTATGCTTGATTTAATTCAGAAATTGAAAAAGAAACGCTTGGGCTATGAAAAGGGAAAAGAAAGAGGACTGTGAAAGGGGAAACGAAAGGACTCGGAATTTATATCGGTTTAGATTAGCGTTCAATTAACAGATCTCTGCCAAAACTAATCCAATTATGTTTTTTAAGCCCCGAGTTATGGTAGCAGAGTAGTAGAGGACTTTGAATGATCTATAGACTCCCTGAAAATTGTATATTTTATACCATATCTTTTTGCAATAAAAAACATTTTCTAGTTGGAGTTGAAAGAACTTTAAGTATAATTTTCCAGCTTAAGCGCAGCTCCTCGATCATTTTGGACACACATTGACCTAGCCTCGGGCGGATATCATCATCCTCATTACCACTAGCCATACCACAGGCCAGCTATCGTGTACTCCTGGCCATCTGCAGCCGAAACGACGCATGTTAATCTACCAAGAAGTCTGCGCACATTCATCAAAATATCAACACCCAACCAAAAAAGGAGCCTTTCCAAATTCGCGGACTGCTGGCATCCCCATTTTTGGGGGAAATATGTTGCATGTAAAACATTCAAACGGGCAGCAGCGCCAGAGATAACAACGCGCGAAGAGAAGAGAAGCCAGGCTAGAGAAAAAGTCTAGAAGAAGACGAAAAATTAAATGGGGAAGAGCTCTTGGAAAATGTGCATAAATCGCGTGAAAAATGTGAAAGAAGAAACAACATTTTGACACCAAAAAAAAAAAAAGGAGCGGAGAGGAGAGGAACAACTCGGT